TTCCCCTCTGGACCAGCTGTGTAATGGGTGGGTCCTTGTAGTTTTAGAGACTGCAAATTAAACCGAAGACGCTTCTGAGATTTGGTCAGCTTTTATTTTCTCTCCAATCAGTAGCAAGTTGATCTGAATGAGTCTGACTCCTCCCACAGTTGTGTTGTGTTTTTTTTAGAACTCATGGAAAACGAACCAGAGAGTTCCAGACGTGTGACGATGATTTTGAGTATAACTTGAGAGGACACGAGCTTTGTGAATGTTCTGAATATGTTAAAAGTTCCAGAGGTACGAGAGTGAGGCCCTGTGCCTCACACGGAGAAGTTAAGGACCCACAAACGATCATCGCGTTTAAAACTAGTCGCCAACTGAGAAAATTCCTCAGATCAGGAGCAAACATCTTCAAGAACAAAATAAGAATCCAGTTCTCTTTGGTTTAATGTTGGGATCATTATGGTCTGACAGCATCTGCACCAGTATAATCCCAGTCACTCCACTGGTTCCACTCATGATTAAAAACTCCTTTGTCTAGTTTGGTTTTAACCTGCTTGTTGTCCTTCATCCCTCCTTCCATCAATCCATCAGTCCGTCCTGCTTTAAATTAAATTTCAAACAGCCTCCCCCCCCCAACTACACACACACACACACACACACACACGACCCGCCCTCCCCCTTTCCCATCATGCCTCTATCTTGTTTTCTTTATAGCTTACAGACAACTGTACAGTGTGTAATGGACATTCCTCCAAGGCCGTCAAGCGTGACTGGGGCAAAACCAACTGACCTACACACACACACACACACACACTCTCTCTTAAAAGTATGCACAGATAAGCACGAATGTAAACCCTCACACACACATTTGTACATGAAAGCAAACTGTACAGACACACTCAGCACAATGCAAAAGCTAACATGGTCACTTACACACACACACACACACACACACACACACACACACACACAGTCATCTCTTTCACTCTGCTGGTTGTTGTGTATAGAAGTCAGTTCCAGGTCAGCGCACAGAGCCGGGATCTTAGTCCTCACAAAGGGGAGTGTGTGTTTTTCTGCATGTGTGTATCGGTTAATGTTCACCGGGCTAGAGGAGTCTGAAACCACACTAGACACAAAAAGAGGTTGGCATCGACAGCCGGCCCAGACTGACAGAATTTGTGTCACAATTCACTGCAAAGCATCATGGGTAAAGGCAGGTCGCACCTGTCTGTGGCTGGGATTGGTTACCTGGGAGGAAAGACGATGCTGAAGGTGTTTGTTGTGATTATGGATATGCCAAAAGTGGTGTGTGTGTGTGTGTGTGTGTGTGCGTGCGTGCGTGCGTGCGTGCGTGCGTGTGTGCGTGTGTGTTTTGCACTGGGATAAAGCCAGTATCTCACTGGTTCTGAACCAGTGTTCAAAGGCATTAGTAGTCATCGTCTTTAGGGGTTCTGGAGCCTCTTTAGAACCTGACTGTGTTTATTTTGAATGAGACAGGAAGTTGGATGAAAAGAGAGGAAAATGTGGTAAAGGTTGGTGACCCAAAACTCTAAGTTGCTGACGCCTGGACAAAACGCAGATATTATGAAGATTTAATGCAAGGATGTCTAAACTTTTCAAGAGGAGGGCCAAAATCATGAAGGTAAAACTCCTCATGGGCCATAAAAATAAAATTATTTTTTTTAAATGTTTATTATGTTTATGTACAGGGAGTGCAGAATTATTAGGCAAGTTGTATTTTTGAGGAATAATTTTATTATTGAACAACAACCATGTTCTCAATGAACCCAAACAACTCATTAATATCAAAGCTGAATGTTTTTGGAAGTAGTTTTTAGTTTGTTTTTAGTTTTAGCTATTTTAGGGGGATATCTGTGTGTACAGGTGACTATTACTGTACATAATTATTAGGCAACTTAACAAAAAACAAATAAAAACCCATTTCAATAATTTATTTTTACCAGTGAAACCAATATAACATCTCCACATTCCCAAATATACATTTCTGACATTCAAAAACAAATCAGCGACCAATATAGCCACCTTTCTTTGCAAGGACACTCAAAAGCCTGCCATCCATGGATTCTGTCAGTGTTTTGATCTGTTCACCATCAACATTGCGTGCAGCAGCAACCACAGCCTCCCAGACACTGTTCAGAGAGGTGTACCGTTTTCCCTCCTTGTAAATCTCACATTTGATGATGGACCACAGGTTCTCAATGGGGTTCAGATCAGGTGAACAAGGAGGCCATGTCATTAGTTTTTCTTCTTTTATACCCTTTCTTGCCAGCCACGCTGTGGAGTACTTGGACGCGTGTGATGGAGCATTGTCCTGCATGAAAATCATGTTTTTCTTGAAGGATGCAGACTTCTTCCTGTACCACTGCTTGAAGAAGGTGTCTTCCAGAAACTGGCAGTAGGACTGGGAGTTGAGCTTGACTCCATCCTCAACCCGAAAAGGCCCCACAAGCTCATCTTTGATGATACCAGCCCAAACCAGTACTCCACCTCCACCTTGCTGGCGTCTGAGTCGGACTGGAGCTCTCTGCCCTTTACCAATCCAGCCACAAGCCCATCCATCTGGCCCATCAAGACTCACTCTCATTTCATCAGTCCATAAAACCTTAGAAAAATCAGTCTTGAGATATTTCTTGGCCCAGTCTTGACGTTTCAGCTTGTGTGTCTTGTTCAGTGGTGGTCGTCTTTCAGCCTTTCTTACCTTGGCCGTGTCTCTGAGAATTGCACACCTTGTGCTTTTGGGCACTGCAGTGATGTTGCAGCTCTGAAATATGGCCAAACGGGTGGCAAGTGGCATCTTGGCTGCTGCACGCTTGACTTTTCTCAGTTCATGGGCAGTTATTTTGCGCCTTGGTTTGTCCACACGCTTCTTGCGACCCTGTTGACTATTTTGAATGAAACGCTTGATTGTTCGATGATCACGCTTCAGAAGCTTTGCAATTTCAAGACTGCTGCATCCCTCTGCAAGATATCTCACTATTTTTTACCTTTCTGAGCCTGTCAAGTCCTTCTTTTGACCCATTTTGCCAAAGGAAAGGAAGTTGCCTAATAATTATGCACACCTGATAAAGGGTGTTGATGTCATTAGACCACACCCCTTCTCATTACAGAGATGCACATCACCTAATATGCTTAATTGGTAGTAGGCTTTCGAGCCTACACAGCTTGGAGTAAGACAACATGCATGAAGAGGATGATGTGGACAAAATACTCATTTGCCTAATAATTCTGCACTCCCTGTATTTAGCAGACGTTTTTGTCCAAAGCGACTTACAAGTGATAATCGGCATGTTGCCCTTGAGGCTAACAACAACAAAAACAACAACAACAACTTGACATCAGTCATGGAGAGGAGGGAACAAGGAGTGGACAGTAGAGAGAGGGGACGGGTGCAGGCAAGGTGCTAGTTAAGAAGATGCTCTCTGAAGAGCAGGGTCTTCAGGAGTTTCTTGAAAATTGAAAAGGAATCCGCTGTTCTGGTAGTGCTTGGTAGGTCATTCCACATTTGTGGAACGATGCATGAGAAGAGTCTGGATTGTCCTGAGCGTGGTGTAGGCACTGCTAGCAGACGATCCTGTGATGACCGGAGCGGCCGGGCCGAGACGTAAGCCTTTGCAAGAGGAGTCAGGTCGATGGGAGCCGTACCATCTCGGACTTTGTATGCTAGTGTTAGCAATTTGACGCATGCTGCTAGCGGTAGCCAGTGGAGCTCAATGAACAGAGGGGTGACGTGTGCTCTTTTTGGCTGATTGAAGACCAGATGCGCTGCTGCTCTGGACCATTTGAAGAGGTCTCACAGTACAGGCTGGAAGACCAGTTAGAAGGGCATTGCAGTAATCGAGGCGGGAAATGACAGTAGATTGCACCAGGAGCTGGGTGGCATGTTGTGTTAGGTATGGTCTGATCTTTCATATGTTATACAGCGCAAAGCGGCATGAACGAGCAACGGAGGCAACATGATCCTTAAAGGTCAGGTGTTCATCAATCACAACACCCAGATTTCGAACTGCCTTTGAAGGAGCCAGAGATAGGAAGTCATTTTGGATTGAGATATTGTGCTGTATGGATGGTTTTGCTGGGATGACAAGTAGTTCAGTTTTAGAGAGGTTGAGTTGGAGATGGTGGGATTTCAAATGCAAACATTATTTTATATTTTTCATTTGTTCTGCTCAAAAAAGGCCTAAAATAGATGTACTAGTAACATCTTGGAAATAAAACTTTAAAATAAATGAATTTCTTTCAACAGCCTGCTGGAGAGACTTGTGAGCCACACAGAGTCAGTCTGTGGGCCGCAAATGGCCCCCAGGCCCCACTTTGGACACACCTGATTTAATGCAAACAAATGAAAGTACTTTAGCCACGGCAGCATTAGGTAAAATGTACAGTATCTGTGCATTAAAGAAACATCTGGTCACACCTGTCTGTGGCTGTGATTGGTTACCTGGGAGAAATGACAATGGTCATTAGGCAATATTTAGCAAGGCTGGCCTAATCATCTCAAATATCCAATGTTTATTATTTTATCTTTAAAAATCCTGTGGTCAAGTTACAATAATAAGTACACTTTTGCTGGTCTTTTTACGCACCATCGCAAGTGCTCATTCATGCTAGCAATAACCGATACTCTCAGAGTCTAAACTTTCAGGTTATTTGTAGGAAAACAAACATTTGTTATTAATCAAAGTCATTTCAGATCAAGTGGAATCAGACATAAGTGGTTTCAAGCATCAGAGTTGTATAAAAATCACAAAAATCAGACATCAGTATCGGCTCTGAAAACCTGAATCAGTGTGTTTGAGTAATATTTACACAGACTTCTGTTCTCTCTAAGGTTCCTCTCTAATTGTGTGTGTGTGTGTGTGTGTGTGTGTGTGTGTGTGTGTGTGTGTGTGTGTGTGTGTGTGTGTGTGTGTGTGTGTGTGTGTGTGTGTGTGTGTGTGTGTGTGTGTGTGTGTGTGTGTGTGTGTGTGTGTGTGTGTGTGGGCGCGCGCACACAGGCCTAACTGCAGCAGCAATGGCCGAGCTCCAGAAGCTGCAGAAGATGAAGATGATGATGAGCCTCCAGAATGGAAACGAGTCGGACAATGACGACTTACACTCCAACACAGGTACCATATACACACACACACACACACACACACACCTGAGCGAGAAGAGAATGAGGGTCCCGGGTTCCTGTTAGTGTGAGGCTTGTCTCTGTAGTCCAGAGACGGGGACACTTTATGGAAGTTTTGTGTGGACATTAGCAATAATCCAGAGGGGCCCCGGGGACAGGTTAAACTTTTTAGAGCCGTTTGTTCTTTCTGTGTGGTGTAATGAACTCTACACCCACCTTCATCTGTGATCAGGCCTTTGGACTCCTCGTTTGTGTTAACATCAGCAAAAACCAACCAAACTAACCTTCTCAGCAACTCCACAAACCCAAGAAATGAAGCAACAAAAGCTTTTCTAATGCTGGAGCTCGTGGAGATTGACCAGGTTTTCATCAGCGTTCCACAAGCAGGAAGCTAAGAGAGATCGTTTATGTAAATGACCCAAAATCTGACCCAAATACAGAAACAAAAAGTTTAAAAGGCTTCATTTGCAACATGTAGCTAAACAGTGAGTTTATGACAATTCTGGGTAAATGAAATAAATAATAATGTGTTAAAACGGCTCTTTTCCCACAGCTCTAATAAGCCACGGACACACTAACAGGACATAGGATAAAATGTCGCCTCCTGATTTAAACGTCTATTCCGCCACGTTTATTTTTAATTGGTCGCACACAACTGTTTGTTCCCAGAGCCAACAGTGAGTTTGATCTCCGAGGATCAATTAACTCCACCGGAGGAGTTTTTATTGCCTCTGACAAACAGGAAATCAGGAGAAAGGAAAACCAGGACAGAACTTCAGGAGAGTCTGGTTCAGGCTGGCCACATCGCTCTCGTTATTCTCTTTTCAGAAGTGTGAAAAATGTTTTCAGCTTTTCACTTTTGCTTCTTTAAACGACAAAAATGTCTTGATGTTAATACTGCAGTTAAATTAAACAGCTGGAAACTCGCCAGTACAAGATGCTGTTTCTGTGACTTAAAACTCTAAATGTTGTTTTAAATAAGTAATTATTTTTGCCCAAAAGCTGGCTTCCCCGGGGGGTAAATAACAATTTCAGGAAGCAACACCACAAATGTAGATAGTTTAAAAATATTGAGAGAAAGACCAAAAATCTGATGTTAATATTTATTCACAAACAAACGTAGGTTAGAATCTTAAGTTTTTGGGGGCAACGTCAGCATTTTGCTAGCCTAGTGAACTAGACCAAATTCTTGCTTTGCAAAGTTTGGTCTAGGAACGCTCCACTGGAACCTCTGCAGCCCTAACAGCATTCTGGCTGGCCAATCACAGCTCTCTAGAGGGGTTTCAAACACATAAAGAGCTGTGATTGGTCCATAATGGTGGGCTAAGCATGGTGCTCTATCGCTTAGTGAACAAATCACAGAGCTTTATCCGGTTTGTGAGCCAATCAGGGCACTCTATATGCCTGGTGGGTGGGATGATGCAACAGAGTGAAACAAGATGGCGACAGCTCGTTTGAAACGACTTTTACATCAATTTTGGACTATTAAAACTTGGGCTTCATTAGAATCAGGAGCAGATAGATGTATTTAAATGCTTTTTTTTTTTAGAAAAAATTATGTTGGTTTTTTTCGCACTCTTCAACTGCGGACCGCCTCATTTACCAATAGCTGTTGCGGTGAGTATGTCACATTGATTGTCCAGTAGCATGCAGAGATCATTTGAAAGACAACGGTAGAATCCGCCCCACAACCGAGAGCCGTCAGTGGAGCGTTGCCAGACTAAATAATACATTTATTTAGTCTGGCTTGCCAGGCTAGCATTTTGCAGAATGGAAGTTTAAGATGTATGAGATGAAAACAGATTTTTGCTGAATTTTCCAATAACGTCTACATTTTTTCAGAATTTTATTTTTTAGATTCACAAGAAGAACAAAAGGCAAGGGTTGTCAGAGACTGAAGTTGTATGTTTACAATCAGGAATCTGGTGCTTTTGGTGAATTTACTGAAAGAAAAGAAGCAGCAAATTTAAGCAAAACTAACGTTGCAAAAGAAAGTGTAATTAAAACTAATGTGATTTAGAAATCGGGGCCTCAAACATGCTCAAACATGAAAACCCACACGGACTCTTATCTATAACCCTCCCACTGTCTTCATGGGTGTGACCCCGCGAGGAAAGTTGACCATTGAGCAGGGTTGATGGTTTATCCCTTGGGTCCATGTGGCAGGGGTGAGGAGTGAGCACCACCTCACCCCTGCCACGTGGACCTCAAGGGATAAACCATCAACCCTGCTCAATGGTCAACTTTCCTCGCGGGGTCACCCATAAAGACAGTGGGAGGGTTAAAGGGTCTCAAATAAAAGAATCCTCCATGCAACACCAGTGCACATGAACAAGTGTGTTGGATGGATTAGTCCAGCTTTACTTTAGTTTTCTGAGTCAAAGTAGTAATAATTACTCAATCTGGAGGGTCTTCACCTGGAAAATAACTTCTTGGGTCATATTTTAAATTTTACTCTATTTGACTTTGTCTCTTAGAGCCACACTATGCTACTTTTTCATTTTTTTTAAAACTTAAAGAGCAAGTCACCCCCCCCCCCCAGCAGAGTCTTACTCCACTCCCACTTCCTGTTTGAAAAATGCAACAAATGCTGCTGCCTGGCAGACCGAGAGGGTGGAGCTGCTGACAAATACACACACACACACACACACACACACACACACACACACACACACACACGCTCACAACGACATTGTGACATCGTAATGTGCCGGCTAACATCATAGTGTACCTCTTAGCCAATAGCGGTGGCAGATTAAAATTCAAATGTAGTGCAGAGTTTTTACCTGAAGACGGTGCAACACTGACAATTTTAGTCAGAATATTTCATTTGAACTAAGATGCACTAAAGTGCCAAATTATTGAGTACACGTGTGTACAGCACAATTAGACTCATTTATAGAGTTTATCAGCAAAGAAAAGTTAATTTGGGGGTGAATTGCTCTTTAAGCTAGCATGTGCTAAAATGACTCTTTATAGGGTTAATGAAATGTCACTCAGACCTCACCGTCCTCTTTGGCCAGAATACCGCAATTGCAACTTCAGAGTGGCGGGCCGCCTCCTGTTGGACTTCGTTAAAAGGAGCTGACATACCTGGTGCTGCAGTCTGGTTCCAGCACGTTTCCTGCATGTTTTAGATCGTGAACACAGCTGATTTGGTGATGAATCACTCCTGTAGACACCGATGAAGGCTGAGGAGACGTTTTAAGCTGTTAGATTAAGCTGTTAAAAACATGAACGCACAGCGAGGAGATAAGTTTCACTTCCGGTTTTACTAACTGGACACTAGGAGGTGCTAAAAGCGAGCAAAACTACAGAGTCTCCCTGTAAACATTTCACAATAAACATCAGTTTTTTCACTTTCCAACGTTAGAAACCAATCTTTTTTTGCATGTGTAGATTCTGACCCGCGCCCCCAGCAGTCCTGTGTGTGACTTCCTCCCGTGAACACCTGAAAACTCACCTGTACCAGAAACTGTTGCATCATATTAAACCACAGCATCACAGACTCAGTCTGACACTGGCGTTGACATTGTTTTCGCGTGTTACCTATAAAACGCTTTCCGCTCCACTCGATCTCTGCTGTGTTTGTATCTCTGAATTATTAAAGAGACAGAAAACAAAAAGCAGAGTGGAGATAAAGGATGGACGGAGCTTTCCACCCCGATTCTCCTCCTTCGGCTTCCTCCTTTTCTTCAGCTGACCTGGCAAATGGGTTGATAGAGTTACTCTTCTTCTGTTCTTTCATTTTATTCTTCTGCCAAGTCGTTTTTAATTTATTCGCTCCCGCTCTTATTCTCCACCGTCCTCTGTCGTCCGTCTCATTCAGAGAGATTTCAGAGCGCTCGCAGAAAGCCTTCTTTTCATTGTCCGACCTTGTTTTCTTTGTGCGCGACACTCACATCGGCCTGGGAAAGTGTGGGGGACAATGGAGCGGAGGAATGGTATGAAATGAAAAAGAAAATAAAGAGAGGGAGGGGGTGGGAGAAAGGGATATCTAGGGCGAGAGGAAAAGAAAAGATGTGTTTGATGGGTGGAAGTGGATCGGGTCGGCCCATTCTGCTCCTATCACAACTTTTTTATATATATAAATGAAAAAAAAAGCAGATGGGACGAATGAGAGGAAAAAACACAGAGAGGTTTTATATGTCGTGGATAAAAGTTTGAAGCATAAACTCAAAACAAGGAAATAATATATTATAGCACTTTGATCAGATTTTAACACAAAAACATTCCAGTTCTCATTTTACTGCTGAGAATTATGTTTGTTACAAAACCTGGAACAGTTTTAAAAGCATCTAACCAGCAGATGGAAAAGCTTTTATGTTTTATTCTGCTCCGTAATCCGATTGGCTGTTCAGTATGCCACATATAATCTGAGGTAGATTATATTAGTTACTGAATAAACACACAAACTAAGTCCAGGTGTTTTATTGTTATGATTTAAAACACGAGCAGCAAGGTCACATGGTGCAGTAGTTTGGTTGCTCGGCAACGTAAAACGTTATTGCCCACCGTTCCATTAGGACCCGTGTAATGAATCCAGAACGAGGTTAGGTAACAGAAGACCTTGTGACTAGGGATGCAACAATACCTCTTTTTTCCTAACCGATACGATACCGATACTTGGATCTAAGTACTCGTCGATACCAAATACTGATACCGATACTTGGATCTGAGTACTCGCAGATACCGAATACGATACGATACTTGGATCTAAGCGCTTGCCGATACCGATACTTGTATCTAGGTGCTCGCAGATACCGATACTTGGATCCGAGTACTCACAGATACCGAGTATCGTATCGGTATTCGGTGTCTGTGAGTACTCACAGATACCGAGTATCGATACGATACTTGGATCTAAGTACTTGCCGATACCGATACTTGGATCTAAGTGCTCGCAGATACCGATACTTGGATCCGAGTACTCGCAGATACCGATATCAATACTTGGATCTGAGGACTTGCAGATACCGAATACCGATACAGATACTTGGATCTGAGTACTTGCAGATACAGAATACCAATACTTGGATCTGAGTACTCGCAGATACCGAATACCGATACTTGGATCTGAGTACTCTCAGATACCGATACCAATACTTGGATCTGAGGACTCGCGGATACCGAATACCGATACCTATACGTGGATCTGTGTACTCGCCGATACCGAATACCGATACCAATACTTGGATCCGAGTACTCGCCAATACCGAATACTGATACTTGGATCTGAGTACTCGCAGATACCGAATGCCGATACTGATAGTTGGATCTGAGTACTCGCAGATACCGAATACCGATACTTGGATCTGTGTACTCGCAGATACCAAATACCGATACCAATACTTGGATCTGAGTACTCGCCGATACCGATACTTCTGCCACACAAAAAATGCAATGAATTGGAATACAGGTTTTATTTTCTTCTCTGGTTTCAACAGGAAAAGACTGTGAGGTCGATAAAAAAATATAATCTATTAATAGAAATGATCACAAAACTAAAATATTAGTTGAACAAAAATGACAAGTTACAATGAAGCCACTTTCAAGCAACTGCATCGGTATCGGTTCACTTTTACCAATACCGTTATTGGTATCATCCCTGCTTGTGACCCAAACTGCGGCTACAGTGTTTATAAGACATTCTGGATCTGCTGCCAGTGGGATGTGACTGGAAAATCCTCCAAAGTGTGGAGGAACCAGCAGGAATCCGAGTCACTTGTCTCAAACACCTCAGAGGAGAAGGAGCAGCGGCGGTGAACTCCTCCTGCATGATGGAGCTTTTCACCTCGTCTCTAAGGCCCAGCCATCTGATGGAGGAACCACATGGACTCATTAACAGCCGGTCGTTTCCTGTTTAGAAAAGCCCTTTGCTGCCAGCGTTTTGGGATGTTTTTACTGTTTTTTGATGAGTCACACAACGTTGTGGTCTATGATGATGTCATCGCCAAAACTACCAGACCAAAGAGTAGACTCACTTCTTACATCAGGAAGAATACTCGTGTTTCGATCGTTATCAGTTCTTTCATAATCCGTTGTCGAATTGTGATCGGCAGAAGCTTTTCCGGTTCACGCCTCACTTTTTTCGCAGTGGCCCAAAACGATCTCCTGACACATGGATTTCCTGCTTCCTGATCACGCGACGTGTGACAGTAAAGGAGTTATGGATGTTTCTGACATGATCCAAATCTCACAACATCCAGAGCTTTACCGTTAGACTCCGCCCCTTCTTCATCACAGACCAGAGCAGCAGCCTCATTCCTGCAGATGAAGACCTGATGTGCCAGCCCTAAAAGAGGCGGAGATTGGGCGTCTTGAGGAAAAGACTCCTGATCTTGAGTTTGATGACCTGTAACATCTGATCCCGTCCTCGCTGACCGCTGTGGCCTGTAGAGAGACGACCACCATTGTCTGAAGTCACTGGACCAGAGAGATCCTGTCCCTAATCCAGATCAGATCTCAGAACCTAAAGGCTCTTTAAAGGCTTTTGGACCTTTTTAACAATTCCCACAGTGAGAACCACTGGTTATAGTTAGTATAGCATGGTTGGTCCTTTATTCTCCAGCTTTAAGGTAGCAGGATGCCAACTTTTACAGGTTAAGTGTTTTTTTTTATCACTGTATTGAAACATTCTGTAGTATGTAGAAAGAAAAAATGAAGTTTCAGTGGTAAAACTGTTTTTGGCTGAACTGAAAAAAAAGAGATGCAGAAAAAAATGTAAAACAAAAAGGAGAAAAAGTGAGAGAGGCCAAGGCCAAAGAAAAAACGAGTGTAGAGATGGAGAAAGAGAGGGAACATCTGCCCATCTGTTTATTCTTCTTTTCTTCCCCGGTGTAAAAGGCAGCAGGGATGAGGCCCAGCTGTCGTACACACACACACACACACACACTGAGCAGGGGGAATTCAGTAGGCAATAATAGAGAGAGACGGTCGCTAATTCAAACTAATGGAGGGAGATGAAGATGGATGAGAGGGGGAACAGTGGAGCAGAGACAGAGGTGTGGAGGGCGAGAGAGGCTGCCTGACACACACAGAGAGAGAGAGAGAACCGTTAAATACATTTTACATTCACACACTGACCGTTTAGAGTTGTCACCGCTGGTAATCGGGTTGCTTCGGCTCATAGAAGGTGAAGTTTTTAATAATTATTCATTCATGATTTTAAAAGTAGTAAAACACATTTAATCAGTTCGGTTTAAACCAGCGATTGATGCCGAAAACGAAAGATGTTTAAATTTTAAAGCCGATCAGCTAAAATGTTTTTTAATGATTTAATCATCATAAAACTAAAGTTTAAAAGTTGAATTTTAAAAGTTACATCTTTATTGTTTTGGTTGTCTGAAAGTGTGAACCGAAGTGACATCTAGTGGCTCAAACTACAAACTGCAACTATCTGACCCATACAGCCTTAAAAACTTGGTTTTATTTTTGTCCTCGTCAGGCTCCTGTAGTGCAGAAGGAGCCACCGGACTGATGTTGGGTTCTTTTCCTGCAAGTGTCCTGATTTTATTAAGTTTTATGAGAACCATCTCCTCAGGCCCTAAAGGTTTTACCTGTAGGGATGAATTACAGGAACTTCCACCTGCTGAAGAGGGACGAGCAGTCATGACTGAGGAGCAGCAGCTAGAGGAGTAAACATGGAGCCAGAGGCTAATGTGATGAACAGATAATCCCGCTATTTATTTAATCTCAATCTGAACTGCAAGCATGTGAATTCACCACAACTCTGACCTAATCTGTCCGTATAAGACGCAAAACCTCATGCATACACCAGAATTATATCTCTGTTTAGGGGTAAGGTTTTGTGTTGGACATTTTTGCAAAATCTAACCAGAACGTTAATTTTTCCAACAGTTTTCGTTAAAATGTTTTAAAAGGAAGAAAAGCAAATCCAAAGGTAATGAAATATTCTGAAGGATTATTTTCATCAGAAAAACACCATAAAACATCTCAGGCTAATGTCTGAAGTAATAATATTTGTTGGATTTTAATCGTTCCCAGCTTTTCTTTTGAAATAGTGGATTATCAAGTAGGACATCGAAGGTTTTAAGTTCCCTCCATGGTTTTGTAAAGCAGCAGTTGAAAGATGAAATTAGAAGCGTGTTGGTCGAGTCTAATCCCAATCTGATGCTCATGACGGATGGAACACAAATGTCTGCTCCTCCACCCAGGAGGCAGCGAGTGTTCCTGGGATAAAGAGCGTCTGACCAGCCCCCCTGCTGGAGCCCACAGCGGAGGACCAGGAGGGGGCGGAGGAGCACCGGCAGTGGGAGGAGGAGGGGGAGGAGGAGGGGGTGCAGCGGGAGGTCCCGGGAGGGGGCCCGCCCTAGGAGCCGTCAATCAAACACAGCTCCAGCAGCAGCAGCAGCAGCTACTGGCCAACAGTGAGTGGAGCTACACACACACACACACACACTTTTTCACACTGTGTGTTTAAAGGATGGACATATTTGTTAATGTACACCATTTAATCTGTTCTCATCTCCTGTATTACCACTCTGGCTGGATTAATCAGCACACACTCTACTAAATGACTCAATTCATCAACACCACACACACACACACACACTTTACACACACGCATGGACCCGCAAACAAACAGATCCTCACCCTTTCTCCCTCTGCAGAAGTAATGTAGGTGTTCTCTCACACCGGGCAGCAGGAAGCCACAAACACTCACATTGATTATTCCATCACTTCAGTCGTCACGACAACAGCAATCAGTGTTATTGTTTCATTGGAATGAGTGTGTGCGTGTGTGTGTGGCAAAACATCTTCTCTCTAATGTGTCAGGCTAGAAGGAGCTAAGCTCAGAGTGGGGCTGCTTTAGGGTGAGAGGGTCATGGAGGTCAAAGGTCAGAGGTTATCCTTTTAGGTATGAGGGTAAAGGATGAAGCAAGTAATTCCTCACAAGAGCTGTGATTTGGAATGGCGTGTGTGTGTGTGTGTGTGTGTGTGTGTGTGTGTGTGTGTGTGTGTGTGTGTGTGTGTGTGTGTGTGTGTGTGTGTGTGTGTGTGTGTGTGTGTGTGTGTGTGTGTGTGTGTGTGTGTGTGTGTGTGTGTGTCGGGGGGAAAAGGGAGGAGAAGAGATGGAATAAAGAGAGTCATGGAGAGGAAGTGAGCTCTGGAGAACAGAGGAACGGACGAGCAGGTCTTGTGTTTGTCCTCCTGCTGGATGAAGCTAAAACTCATCATGACGATGGGCCAGATGTTGCTTCTTCACTAAAGCTGAGATGCAAAAAGTAAAGATGGCGGCTTAAACAACAGCCTCTTGGTTGGACGGCGCAGACAGTCCAAAGAAGCAAACACTGAAAATAAAAACACACACACACCATGTTGGTCAGCAGGTGTGACACACCTGAACCTCGTTGTACACCAGGATCCCCCGCCTCCTCTGTGCTGATGACACTTCTTTCTATCTCAGGGTTAGATTTGCCGTTCATGATGATGCCCCATCCCCTACTGCCCATGGGGCTGCCCCCTGCATCTGTCGCCATGGCGATGTCTCAGATGAACCACCTCAGCACCATTGCAAACATGGCAGCTGCAGCCCAGCAGATACACACTCACGTTCACCGCGCACCTGTCATCAAGGTAGGACACACGGATACGGCTTGCTGGTCTGTAACTTTATGAGCTGCAGCTGTTTTTTATTTGGATATTTGACCTTCGACAAACAAATCATCCATAACATTATGACCACTTCATGAAGTGAAAAGCATTGATTGTCTCCTTAAAGCAGCGCCGGACCACAGAGAGGCTCCATCTGCCAGCTGAGATAACATCTAGTCATTGACATTGATCCATTAGATGCAAAACCAGAAAAAGTGAGCAACCAAAAGGATCTGGGTGTCTCTGACCCGGAACTAGTTGTGACGGCCAGGTCACAACAAATCAGCATCTGAGGGATGTTTGGGGTCATAAGGAGCCAAGAAACATTGATCCAGACGAGGAGCTGAGGCTTATTTATGCTGTTCAACCAGATCCATGAGCTACTGTAGACTGAACAACTCAGTCTGACCCAAACGTTTTTAAATGTAAACAAAGCTAATGAAGCAGGTATGTATCCTAAACATCAGTTGGTCTGAAGGTCCTCTCCCTTCCTGTTTGCAGGAACGAGTGTGTGACAGTCCCTCTCTGTCTCCATCTGTCGATGAAACCAACACTCCTCTGCAGTCGCAGCCCAGCAGCTCGGCCTCCAGCTCCCCAGAGCGACTGGGTAGGAACCATCACACACCAAACAAGCTGTAAATGTCGTGTTTCTACGTGAGCCCAGGAGGGACACCCCAAACCCCGCATCGACGATATCATCTGTGTCTGGTAGTGAAATATCCACCGAACCACGGGGAGAAGTTATAACACATCATGATACACCTGTCTGGGTTCTGTTAACTTTATTGAACTTCGGACAAGAACAGACACCGTCCACAGGGTATCCGCGGGTCCTTAAAAAGTCTTAAATTTGCTTTTCCAAATTTAAGGCCTTAAAAATCCTTAAAAATGTCAAATCATCCTTAAATAGAGTTTCCGAATTAGCAGAATTAGCTACAAAACCTACACACTTCTGAACCCAGATCATTGTTTAGTCTTTTGACTCAAATTCTTTTTAATTTTAGTCATTCCATATGTTTAAATTTTAGACGACTATAATACATGATGCAATAATTTTAAACGTCTGTAGAGGAAATGTTCACATCTACTTGAAACTGCAAAGAATTTCATATTTTACACTTAGGATCAATACAAATCTATAGTTATAACTGTTTTAATAACAGTTAGTAGCGGAAAATACCAAAATGAACACTGACAGTGTGAATTATGTCTCTCAGTATTAATATCAGGGATGTGTATTGAAATTCTGGCGATACGATACATATCACGATACAGGGGAGACGATACGATATATCACGATATATTGCAATACAGTCAGACGTTACAAGCAATTTTTTTTACTTAATTTATTGTAAGAATGTTCAATAAACAGTCCAAACTTATACGTAACATGTTTAACATGAGGTATCTGACCCATGATGGAGGGATTTACATTTTAAATGGTGGAAACAAAACCCGTTGCACACTGCTGCCAACTATTGGGTGGCGATTGAATTGCACAAAACGAAAAGAAAATACACAAATGTTTGCATGTAAATTCTTTCAAAGATTAGATGCACGGCTTTTGAATATCGATGTAATAATCGCAGGGAAAAAATCACGATATATTGCCATATCGATATTTTCTTACATCCCTAATTAATATAGTAAACAAACCTGTAAAATGTGCTGTAATATTTGTAAACATGAAATGAAAACAGGAAGTGACATCATACCATCAAAACGGTAAAGGTGTTACTCTAATAGTGTGAGGAGGTAGGAATTGTTTTCAGATGTATTTATTAGAGTTTTCCCTGAACTAATTTACCAAGGTGGGCTGCTTCACAAAAACACCGCTAGAACATCAAACGCTGACATTAGCCGTAACGGCGCCACCTAAATGATACAACAACCAGATGTGCTCATGCCCCTCGCTCCCACGAACGCTCGCTGCTACAGCCGTCACTTATAGAGCCAGGGGAAACCCCGGATGTGTGCTCGCCAAGCAAACACTGTCCAGATCATCACATTTATTGTTGTTCCTCCCAGCTGTGGACATTTTCTCCTTTAGGCATAAAGCCACTTTCACATCTAGGTGAGCCCAGACCGCACCAGGCCGGGTCAGGTTTTGTACACACAGCCTTCTCAGGAACGCAAATGTCACCTAGCATGTGGGCGGAGCAAAAAATGTATGGAGAAGTGTGTGTGTGTGTGTGTGTGTGTGTGTGTGTGTGTGTGTGTGTGTGTGTGTGTGTGTGTGTGTGTGTGCATGCACGCTCTAACCTAGCCACAATAACAGTGTGTGTTTTCTCTCTACAGGACTGGTGTCAGGTGATGCTGATGTTGCACTGACCAACTCTGCTGCACCCATCAAGAAAATAGCAAAGGACAAAGGTTGGTGCACACACACACACACACACACCCACACACACACACTCTTATACAGTGAGGATATTCCATTATCCACCTTAATCTAAAGCCTTGGCCATTTTCTTTTGACAACTGACAAATTGTCTTGTGGTAGGAGGGCTTTCCTCATCTACTGTACACACACACACACACACACACACACGTGTCTCATTGATCATCTGTCTCTGAGCCATCAATCAGAAGGAAGATGAGAGGATAGATGGATGAATGAATGGATGAAGGGGGTTGTGAGGGAGGTAGACAGAGTGAAGGAGGACTGGCTAAAAGGGGTCAAGGGGTCAGACACTAAAAGCATGCCGGGCCTCTCCTCCCTCCCCTCTAAGTTCTCCATTCTCCTGACGCGTTCCGTCCATCCCTCCGCTCTTCCTGCAGACTTCAGCAGGAGCTGCTCCTGGATCAGTGCTGGAGGATACACGTCTCCTCCTTCATCTGACGTGTGTCGGACCTGCAGCTGCAGGTCACGTGATCTGTTTCTAAACAGGTTTCAGCTGGGAGAGAAAATTAAAAACTCTTCATGGAGCCGTTTGGATTAAACCTTTAGAGGCGTTTCAACCACAGCTGGGATTAGGGGGGAAAACCGCTGAGTTTGTGGATTTTTCTTTCTGTAGAGAGAAATTTTTGTGTATGAATACGGAATTATTGGGTGTTTTAGGAAAGAACACCCTGGATTTAATTTTATTGCTCAATTGGAAACTCCCAAAATTGTTTTTGTCATTTATGACGTTTTGTTAGAAACGCAGATTTCAAACCTATTTGAAACTTGGATCATTTTAAATATTCACAAAACAGTAGATAAACATATTTTAATGTGTTTTTAACAGAAATCCTCCTTTTTTTTCTTCAGTTGTTGAATTTCTTTATTTTACCTCTTCCCACTTTTTATTTTAGAGACCAAACAGAATGTGTCCATTATAGAAATAAAATAAAATCTTTTTTACAGTTTATTTATTAAAAGCACTAAAGGATAAAATAAAAATAAAAAACTGACATTTGGGCTTTTTAATAAAATGTTACTTATTGCAGATCAAACACTGCTGATATTGAGTCATAACATTTGTAATTAATGTTCTTAAAACCTGTGATGGGTCAAAATAAAACGACAGAATTTAAAGGACAATAAAACAACTAATAAAAAATATGTAAAAAAAAGGAGAGAAATTAAGTGAAAAAATAGGAATAAAAAAGATTTGAAGTAAATTAACTTTTATAAAAAATAAGGTGAAAAAAGCAGAAAGAATCTGGAAGGAAAACTGGAGCTGAGGAGAAAAAGTGATGAAGAGAGACGAGCGAGTTTGTAATGGTGGAGTCGAGGGATGTGTGGATGAAGTGGCAGATAGAGTGCGTGTGCGTGTGTGTGCGTGTGTGCATCTTAATCAGCGTTAATTTCACAGCAGAGTTAGCCCAGTTGTCGGTGTGTTAGGCATTAAGGGCTGAGCAGACACTGTGACACACTCGCAATGAACACACACACAAATCAAGGATGTCTTTAATCCCTGCCAATTAGCACCCCACATGATCGTCTGAATACTAACAGCTTCGTTCGTGTGTGTGTGTGTGCGTGCGTGCGTGCGTGCGTGTGTGTAATTGATTTCTTTACTGCTGCAGCCTTTTAACCTTAAACGCCAGCGTTTCACAAAGTTCTTTTAAAACTCTAAAGTCTAAATCAGCTGTTTGGACCTTTGCTCCACACACACCCGTCCGGCTGCAGTGACGAGTAACTGAATGTGTTGAATGTTTGTGGCAGAAGAGTCTCCTCTGGGTCAGAACCTGCCTCCTGGGTTTCCTGCGCCGTTCCTGTTTGCCGACGGCCTCTCGTCTGTGGAGACTCTGCTGACCAACATACAGGTATGACTGTTCTCACACACAACCTAGAACTTTATCACTAAAACACCAGGAAATTACCCTTTTTTGTTGAAAGGGACACAACAGTAGCTCAGGAGGTAGAGCGGGTTGTCCAGTAATCGGAAGTTTGCAGGTTTGGTCCTGGCTTCGACCAGAGAATTCTGCTGTTGTGTCCTCGGGCAAAACACTTAACCGGCCTTGCCTGCTGGTGGTGGTCGAAAGGACCGGTGGTGCCTGTGCACGGCAGGCCTCGCCTCTGTCAGTGCGCCTCCGGGCAGCTGTGGCTACATCGTAGCTCATCCCCACCAATGTGTGTGGGTGAATGGGTGAAAGACTGGTTGTGTTGTGAAGCGTCTTGGGGGTCGTAGAACCCTAAGAAGGTGCCATACAAATGCAGGCCATTTACCATTTTACCATTTTTGTTTTAAAGGAGTATTGTGCAACATTTTCATATTTCCAAATCATTTTCTTGAGCCAGTATGAGCTAAAAGGACCCTTTACATGTTAATGAAATGTTAGTCAGACCTCCAGAAGCCCCAGTGGCCATATCACACTTGCAACTTCAGAGTGCCAGTCTGGTCCCTGCTGGTGGAGTGGAGCTGACATGCCTGTCTCTGCAGTCTGCTTCCAGCATGTTTCTTGCATGTTTAGATCACAGCTGATTGGTTTGATGTAGTGATGAATCACTCCTGTAGACACTAATGAAGGCTGAGGAGACAACATCCAAATGTATAAAAAAAATATATATATATATATTTAAAAAATATTTCTAACGTATGGTGACTAGACATCATTAACATAACATTCAGCAAACATAAGTAGAAATCAAATGGATCCAAACTACCTCATGACCCATGGAGGGTGAAGAGTACCATGCTACTAAATGGTTAAGATGGTTTCCTGACGCTTTCAAGGAAATACCAAAGTCCAGTTTGGGCTGCACAACATCCATACATAATTAATGTAATATTTGTCAAAAGGAGCGACCCAGAAGCTATTTCTTGTACCCCTAAGAAGCCACGGCATCCTTTTGTTTTACTCTTAACAGAAAGCTAGAGGCTAACGCTGAGCTAACAGTGATAACGGTGAATTAGAAACTCAACTTTTTCCCTACAACTCGATATTCTAGTGAAATGTATTTATCTACTTATCCACCTACTGTTTATGTCTTGTCTACACTCATCTAGAATCTTCTGGTGCTGATCCGTACCTGGCACTAGATACTAACCCTAACCCACGCAACTGTGCGTGGGCTGCAGTACCCACGTTTGACCACAGGATGTCATTCTTGCTTCAGGAACAAACAGCTTATATCTAGTTATATAAAATGTAAGAAATAAGAAGATTCTGGATGCTGGAGAAGGTTTAACTCATTCGCTGCCAGCGATTATCACCGTTTTTACTGTTTTTTTAAGAGTCACAGAACATTGCGTGCCAGGATGATGTCAACGCCATAACAACCTAAACAAAGCGGAGATTCACGTCTTACATCAGGAAGAATTTGCGTGTTTCGAGTGTTATCCGCTCTTTCATAATCCGATGTCGAATTGTGGTCGGAATAAGCTTTTCCGGTTCGCGCCTCACTTTTTTTACAGCAGCGGCCCAAAACGATCCCCTAACACATGGATTTTCTGCTTCCTGATCACGTGACGTGTGCGGAAGAAGATCGGCTTTAGAGCCGAGATGTTTGTTCTCACGGTGCGGGGGCTCGTTCCGACGCCCACACAGTAAAAACATGCAAATGACGACTTTAGTCGTCAATGGCAGTGAATGAGTTAATATGACCTAATGCAACATAAAAATAACAATTAGCAAAGAAAAACACTAAACAGGCCTGACTGACAGATCAGCAGGGTTTAGAGTTAAAAGCCATGATGGGGCAAAAACAGAGTTTTAGCCTTTATTAGACATAAAATCACCGTAATGCAGTTGTTCAGGAGCATCGTGCTGATTTCCAGGGCCTGCTGAAGGTGGCGGTGGAGAACGCCCGGGCGCAGGACAAGCAGATCCAGGCGGAGAAGCGGGAGCTGAAGATGGAGCTCTACAGAGAACGAGAGATGAGGGAGAGTCTGGAGCGACAGCTGAACACCGAGCTCCAGAGCAGAGGTCCGATTGGCCGTCTCACACCTGCTGAACTCCACCTGTGTGTTCTATAACCCGTCTCTGCCTCTTCTACCTCTAGCTTCCATCCAGAAGCGACTGAAGAAGGAGAAGAAGGCAAAGAGGAAGCTGCAGGAGGCGCTGGAGTTCGAGTCCAAGAGAAGGGAGAGAGTGGAGGACGCCCTGAAGCACTCGTCCTCGTCCTCCCCGTCTCCTGAACCGCTGCACGTCGCCAACAACAACATAAACGGTAAAGGTTTTGACCTCCATCATGAGTCTCATCCTGGTGTTTTAGACACTTTTTGGTTCCTCTAGTTATTTTTCATCAAAGCCTTTCTTCTGCCGTCACTCGGGTTTATCTGGAGCACTGCTATACGAGCTGCTGCTGACTGAACCAGCTCTTTAAACACGGTTACAAGCCGCTGCTGCCTTTCTCTCTTCCTTCCATGAAATTCGGAGTAATCAGAAGCAGCCCGTAAACGTGTCGTTAATCTGTCTGCAGCAAAAGGACAGCCGGCACCGTTCACGGTGCTGGACTCCACTGTAGGAGTACCTTTAGATCGCGGGGTGGTGAGAAAACACCCAAAATGTGATTTAAGGGATAAAATATAGTGATTAAAATATTATTAGTTGTATATTATTCTCGTCAGACATTATGTTTTTCTGAATGACCCTATAGGCTGCCATACTCTGGGCTTAACAAAAGTCGTGGAAAATCAGCTCCTCTAAATCTGAGACCATGGTCTTGAGTCGGAAAATGGTAGAATGCCTTCTCCGGGTCAGGGATGAGGTCCTGCCCCAAGTGGAGGAGTTTAAGTATCTCTGGGTCTTGTTCACGAGTGAGGGAAAACTGGAGCGTGAGATCGATAGGTGGATTGGTGCTGACTCTGCAGTGATGCGGGCGTTGTACCGGTCTGTCGTGATGGAGAGAGAGCTGAGTCAGAAGGTGAAGCTCTCGATTTACCGGTCGATCTACGTTCCTACCCTCACCTATGGTCATGAGCTTTGGGTAGTGACCGAAAGAACGAGATCGCGGATACAAGCGGCCGAAATGTGTTTTCTCCACAGGGTGGCTGGGCTCTCCCTTAGAGATAGGGTGAGAAGCTCGGTTATCCGGGAGGGGCTTGGAGTAGACCCGCTGCTCCTCCACAATGAGAGGAGCCAGTTGAGGTGGCTCGGGCATCTGGTCAGGATGCCTCCCTGGTGAGGTTTTCCAGCCACGTCCAACCGGGAGGAGGCCTCAATCAATCGATCAACTTTTACTTAAATAGCGCTTTCCACCACTCTCAAAGGGGCCAAAGGCGCTGAGCAACACAAGTAACAAGGCCTAAAGGAAGACCCAGGACATGTTGGAGGGACTATGTCTCTTGGCTGGCCAAGGAACACCTTGGGGTTCCCCTGGAAGAGCTGGCCCAAGTGGCTGGGGAGAGAGAAGTCTGGGTCTCTCGACGTAGGCTACTGCTCCCGTGACCCGACTCCGGATAAACGGAAGAGGGAGGGATGGATGGATATGCATAATACGTACTTATAACGAGTGATACAAGAACGACCCTGATTGGACCTGGACGTATGTGATGTCCCATCCGTGAGACAGCTCAGCCGCCCAACCTCGTCCCTCACCATAGGACGTGTTCCTCAATCAATCAATCAAAGCTTTATTTATAAAGCGCCTTCCGCAACCCTGTCAGGAAGCCCAAGGCGCTGAACATGGTACAGTAGAAGTACAAATATAGTGAATAAATCAAAAATAAAAGCAATTCAAAAATAAATGCAAAGTAAATTACTAACTACAAATTACAAAAAAGGTGAAACATTCTAGTACAGGACAGATGGGTAAAACAAGGGATAGAGTGAACCAATGAAAACTGTGAAATAAATTCAACGTAAAAGAGGGCCGAATCAAACGTGTTCAGGAAACGCCAAGTGGAGAAGGTGTGTTTTTAGGTGATTCTTAAAGGCTGGCAGAGAAGGGGACAGCCTAACTGAGGGTGGCAACTGGTTCCAGAGTGACGGTGCTAGGACTGAGAAAGCCCGGTCCCCGCGAGTACGACACCTAGAACGAGGGACAGCGAGCAGGCCTTGGTCAGAGGAGCGCGTGATGGGGAGTGTCTGTTCAGGAGTGTGGCTAGATAGGGGGGAGCACCACCCTGGAAGAAATTGTAAACAAAGACGAGGATTTTGAATTGTGCACGATAGCAAAGCGGAAGCCAGTGCAGAGAGACCAGAACCGGACTGATGTGGTCCCGTTTCCTGGTCCCTGAAAAAGCCAACAGCTTGTCACTCCTTGACCTTCCCCAAAACGTTCCTACAAACCTGATCCGAGCATCATTCCACTGGATTTACAAATGTCCTGCAACCCCATTAGGACACTGGTTCTTGTGAGTGGAACCAGCTCCTGGTGGAACCGCACACAGTAACAAGGTTCTGTTAGTGTTTTACAGGCCGACCCACTCCGACTCTGTCTTGTC